TCTCATAAAAACACATAGAAAGTATCTATACATCGAATGTAACTGAACAAAGCTCATAATCAGTACATCATAGAGCACTAAACCAACAAAGTTGGCCAAAGGACGAGGCCATACATCAAATGAGTTCAGTAGGAGGGGCTCAACAAAGGGAGATGCGGGAGAAGGAGCAGCACTCAAGGCAGTGTTATCTGAACTTGCTGAGATACGGATACAACTTGCAAACAGTAAGCAAGTAGCAGCTATAGAGGAGCCAAGTTCAGCACAAATCCAACCGGGGATGTATTTGGTCAATCAAAAAGCGGAGGAAGCCAATTATGTTGGTCCAAACCAATACAACCACCCTTCCAACCTATACCATCCTGGGTTAAGGAACCACCCAAACTTCTCCTACAAGAACCAAACAAATGCCATGAACCCGCAATCGACATTTCAACGGAGCAACCAAGGACCCCCGGGTTTTCAATCTAAGTTCAGCAACAAGTCCAAGGGAACCAAGGTTATCAAGGAACATCGAACTATAGACAACAACAAGAGCAACCAAAAGATCAAGAACCCGAGATCGAGGACATGCTGATGCAAATTCTCCAAGGGAAAAAGTCACAAGGAATATCTATCGGAAACATCGAGAATGAGCAAATTGTATTCAAAAAGCAATTGGAAGGAGTACAAGCTCATTTAAAGATTTTGAACAACCAAGTGGCACAACTCTCATCTTCCTCATCGAGACAACAAGGTACTCTTCCGGGAAAGAGTGAAGTGAACCCTCGAGAGCACCTTAATGCAGTGGAGTTGAGAAGTGGAAAGCAACTCCCGGAAATCGGTCCACCCATGAGCGAAAAAGCACCAACACCAAGGCTAACGAGGGAAGAGAAAGGCAAAGCGGTGGAAGAAAGCAACTCCACGACAAACACCCAGGAAAAGGAGCCGGCCTACATTCCTCCACCAGCTAATGTACCTCCAATCCCTTTTCCCTCTCGTTTAAAAAAGTTCAATGAAGAAAGCCAGTTTGGAAAGTTTGCGGAGATGCTGAAAAAGATGGAGATTACGATGCCATTCCATGAAGCGATTCTCCAAATGCCTTCCTATGCAAAGTTTCTAAAGGATATTTTGACTAAGAAGCGAGTGGTAGAAAAGGAAACGGTGGCCTTAAGCACTGAAATCAGTGCCGCCATTACAAGACACGAGCTCCCTCCGAAGATGTCGGACCCGGGAAGCTTCTCCATACCTTGCAAGTTGGGCAACATTGAGATAGATCGAGCTCGATGCGATCTGGGAGCGAGTGTAAGTCTTATGCCTTTATCGATCTACAAGAAGCTGAATATAGGGGAATTGAAACCGACAAGAATGGCTCTACAATTGGCGGATCGTTCGATCAAGTACCCAGCGGGAATAGTGGAAGATGTACCCCTGAAGATTGGTGGATTTTACGTTCCGGTTGATTTCGTGGTATTGGATATGGATGAAGACTCCAAAGTTCCAATTATTCTTGGTCGACCCATTCTATGTACCGCAGACGCAATAGTTCATGTTAGAGCGGGAAGGTTGACAATGAAAATTGGAGACGAAACTGTGGAATTCACTCTCGATCAGAATCTCCGACAACCCTCCACCAATGATACAATGCTTCGTGGATGTCTTGGAAGCAATGGTCGAAGAAGTGATGGAAGAGTTCCGAGAGATCGATCCGTTGGAAATATCACTAATGGCAACAAATGAAAGTTTGTATACCAATTGGGAGGAGATTGAGGTGATCAGAAAGGCTTTGGATAGTGCAATAGAAGAAAATGACGAGTCACAGAAATTTCAGGCGGCCCTCCCTAATTTTAGGGCGACCAGCCTTAAAATGGGGAAATCAGGAAGTTCTACAGAAAAAATGGGCGATCCGCTCACACATAAGGGCGAGCGCCCTGTCAGCTCAAGTGAATCATGCAATTTTCAGGCGGCCCTTCCTCATGGTAGGGCGACCCTCCCATTTTTTCTGAGCAAAAACGGAGAACCAACTCATGAAACACTCGAAGGGAACCACGAAGGCCAGAATCTCACAGCATACACCCTCAGTGACATACCTCAAGGATCTAAGATGACTCCCTCCACTGATTGGGACCCGGAGCAAGCACCGAAAGTGGAACTAAAGCCGTTACCACAAGGGCTTAGGTATGTCTATCTCGGTTCTAACTCTACATACCCTATCATTGTCAATGACTCTCTGGATGACGTTCAAATGGAAAAGCTGATTGCATTAATCAAGCAATATAGAAACGTTTTAGGGTACACGCTAGAGGATATCAAAGGTCTTAGTCCCTCACTTTGCATGCACCGCATTCATTTAGATGATGAGGCTAAGTCATCCATAGAACACCAGCGTAGACTAAACCCTACCATGAAAGAGGTCGTTAAGAAAGAAGTGTTAAAATTTCTAGATGCGGGTATCATCTACCCGATTTCCGACAGTACATGGGTTAGCCCGATTCAAGTTGTACCTAAGAAAGGGGGAATCACAGTCATCACCAATGAGAAAAATGAATTAATACCTACTCGGACTATCACGGGATGGAGAATGTGCATAGATTATCGCAAATTGAACACGAACACCCGAAAGAATCATTTCCCCCTACCTTTCATAGATCAAATGCTACAGAGGCTTGCATTGCACTCATATTTTTGTTTCCTCGATGGGTATTCTGGATTTTTCCAAATTCCTATTCATCCTAGCGATCAAGAGAAGGCAACATTCACGTGCCCCTATGGAACATTTGCATATAGACGCATGCCTTTTGGATTATGCAATGCACCAACAACATTTCAAAGATGCATGATGGCAATTTTTTCTGATGTGATTGAAGATATAATGGAGGTGTTCATGGGCTACTTCTCCGTCCATGTACCCTCCTTTGATGCGTGTCTAACAAATCTTCATCGAGTGTTAGACAGGTGCAGCAAGGCAAATTTGGTCCTAAATTGGGAAAAATGTCATTTTATGGTGCAAGAAGGCATAGTTTTGGGGCATCGGATTTCGGATAAGGGGATTGAAGTTGACAAAGCAAAGGTGGAAGTCATCGAGAAACTCCCTCCACCAATGAACATCAAAGGCATTCGGAGTTTCTTAGGACATGCGGGGTTTTACCGACGATTCATTAAGGATTTCTCAAAGATAACAAGACCCTTAACCGCACTCCTAGGAAAAGATGTACCCTTTGTGTTTGACGAGAAGTGCAACCAAGCATTCAAGACTCTAAAACAAGCATTAGTGTCGCCACCGATTATTCAACCTCCAGATTGGAACATTCCATTCGAGTTGATGTGCGGCGCTAGCGACTTCGCGGTAGGAGCTGTTCTAGGTCAAAAGAAAGATGGAAAACACCATGCGGTGTACTATGCGAGTAGGACACTCGATGATGCTCAAATGAACTATTCCACCACGGAGAAGGAGCTTTTAGCGGTGGTGTTTGCCTTTGAGAAATTCAGATCATATTTGGTGGGCTCGAAAGTCATCGTTTACACGGATCACGCAGCTTTGCGATATCTTCTTACAAAGAAGGATGCCAAACCGAGATTGATCCGATGGATACTGCTGCTACAAGAATTCGACTTAGAGATTCGAGAACGGAGAGGGACAGAAAACACAGTGGCCGATTTCCTATCAAGACTAGAAGTACCCGAAAGATTGCCCATCGATGACTCACTGCGAGAGGAA